AAAAATCATGTGATATGACGTCATTTCGACTATTTCGCGACTTTAGCCTTCAATGGTCGAAATGATTTCGACTATTTTGACCATTTTGGATATCCAAAATGATCCATTTCGACTTCATGTATAATTGTGTTCCATTTTTATTTAGTTTAAATTTAAGTTTTGTTAGTATTTAGTTAGACTTTTGTAGATTAATGACCCAATTGTCCTCTTGCCAAATTGTCTGCAGGCCAATATGCCATTCGGCCATTATGTTTCAAAAACAAAAAGGCCTCCAAACAATTAGTCCTTGCTGAGTTTTCAGTATAAAAGAGGTGGGATTTCGTTAAGTAGAATATATCAAGTATTCCATATATACCTTAGATAAAAATGATAGATAACATTAGCATATATCCCTTTCTTTTATTTGTAACGATAATGAAAGTATATTAATAAATTACGTATCTGATCGTATAGAGCGTCGACGATTGAGGCAATACTTTATTTACATAGATTTATGTTAGATTTCTCTTATTGTTAATAAATAAATTTAATTCATTTCAATAAAGAAACCTTCTGCTTACCTTTTCTATTATTTATAACCAATAAACGTTTTGAACTGCATGCAATACATAGTGTCTTCTGCCAGAAAATTAAAAAGAAATTATTAATTAATTGTATGTTTCAAGCCCATATCGAACGAAATAATACACACGATAATTATCATCGGATACTGCACTGAAGAAATATAACCATTTACCATCGAGATCAATCCTGTGAATATTATTACTCTTTTGAATTCCCATTAACAGCCCAATTTTGGAACTTTTGGAACTGGTATTCTGTTGAATATCCTGTTGAGAACTTTTCAAGATATACTCAACAGTATCTCGAAGAACTTTTCTATACCAGAGAAATAGAAGAAACCTGGATTATTATTTTTAAATTGATATTTAGTATAAGATATCATAGAATTCCAGAAGAATTGTATATAATAATCTGACAAACCTTATATAACACATTTATCAATATACAAGGATTTCTTTTAGATCCATTTACCGTTCTCTACATCGCAAGTGAAATTACATCTCCAGTATCATCTGATGATAGTTTTGGATTAGATAATCCTGAAATATTAAACGATCCAAATTTTAATAATTTATTATTTAATACCGAACCTCTAAATATTGAGCAATTATTTAAAGAAGAAAATCCAATGGCTGCCTAAGTAGTTGATCTCTAAAATTTAACAGCAGCTTTATAAGCTCTGCAAGGAGTTTTACAACCTCCTGGACTACCAAATGCAAATAATGCCATTATAAATTTACAAGCCCAAATGCAGGCTCATGTGAATGCATTGGCAAATTCTCTTGGAAGAGAAGCTCGTGTGGTAGATATATCTAATTATTACCGAGGAAACCAAGACCCCATGGGATGGTTAGAAGAGTTCATACGAGCTTGTAACACAAATGGAATTGCTGATGCCAGAAAATTAAAAGTGGTACCAGCCTACCTCAAGGGACCAGCCTCTACCTGGTGGATGATAAATCAAGCATTAGTAGCTAACAATGCAAATAAAATTAATGCATGAACAGGGAATAATAACAATACTGATTTTATTGCTAATTTCCCTTTAGTTAAAATTTGGACCACAGAGCTTGAATGATGACATCAATGACCTAACGAGACCATTGACACCTATGCATAGGATTGGGAAGTACAGTGTTAGTACAATGATTACAGTTAGTACATTATAATAATTAATATAAAAATCAGTACAAGTACAGTACAAGTACAGTGGTAATTTTATCTAGTACATACAAAATTCCCAACCCTGCCTATGCGTGTACCTTACAAGAACTATATAGGAGAATTGAAACTCCAGTATTTACATATCCAGCTGCAATGAAAGCTCGTAGATTGGTTAATGGATTATTGCCTGAACTACATCTGATAGTGAAACCCATAATGACCAGACTTGGGATGCTACGCTTAATCGTTTAAAGGCATATGAACTCACCTATCAAGACCAAAATGCCATTGTAGCATATATGAATAAATATAGCATTACAACACTATCTACATAAACCAACGCCCTTAATGAAGCAATAGCTAGTCTAGCTTAACAAATCCAATATATGAATATTGGAAGAAGAAACTTTAAAAATAACGATATACATAGATCATCAAATTTTCAACCAAACAATACGCTTTCAACAACTTCTCAACAGAATAACCTTATTTGCTACCTATGCAAATAGCCAGGACATATAAAGAGAAATTGTCCTAATAGTTTTAACATTCTGAGTAATAACCAAAATTATCAACATAATCAAGCTACAGAAAGTAACATACCAAGTCCTATCCACTCAACACAACCAACCGTTAACGTTACCTTGGTAGCAGGAGACAACAATCTTAAAAATCTGCAGTTGCTACAATTGTTGTCACAGTTAATGCAAGATAATACGCAAGATTAACATTTAAACTAAATGGTGTACCTCATGAGGGTGACGGTACGGTACCATTAGTTGTTCATCAAATTTATCTTTGTTTGAAACTTATTCAGCAACTAGAACATGAGCCAGAACTGCTCAAAAAACTCCTATGACCAAAATGAGAATGATATAGAAAAGAAAGAAAATGATGTTGAATTAATACAACAGTTAACAAATCAACGAAAGGACAATAAGAATGTGCTGATTAAAACAAAATCCAAAACAGTAAAAAGAAAAAACCCTTTGATTCCACCTATAAATAATATGGTTAATCTATACACGCCTCAACAATTTTTCGATCAACCTGCCAACATCACCAATAGACAGTTAATAACCATAATTCCTAAGTTCAGACTGGCTATATTAAAAGCAATACAAAAACTAATAGCAAAGAAGCCGAAAGATCCAATTATTGTAAAAGAAAAAAATGAGGACATTGAATTGAACTATGCGAGTAGATCCAAAAAGAGAACCATGGCATTGTATTATGATGTATACATTAAAAATGTGAAAATTCCGTTAATAATTGGCTCCAGTTCTGTTGGATGTATAATTTGCATAAAGTTGCTTAAAGACCTGGATATGAAGATAACAGAAGCATCTAAAACAATAATGGTTAACGTAAATGATAAAAAAGAAGACTCTTAGGAGCTGTTACAGGTGTTCCTTTAAAGATCTCTAGACATGTAATCCCTTTTGATACAGTTATCACGAAAGCAGACTCTTATGCTGCCATTGTTGAAAACGATTAGCTAAAAGAAGTACAAGCCATCATAAAATATCATAAAAGCCTTTTAATATTATATTGGAATAATTAGAATATTATTATTATGGCAGAATGTCATCAAATGTCACATGATCGGATCATTGAAGACGAAATAAATGCTGCTGATGATGATACTGAAGAAGTAGAACATATAATTGAAAGTAGTGATGATGAATATGAAGAAGAGGATGATTTGTAAAAACAGCTGTATTGCTTCAACCAGTATATAACAACACAAGAAGTCGAACAGATTGAAAATAAACTCATTAAACAAGTGATTTTGAAAAATGATGTTACTAAAGAGTCTTATTACCAGTACAAAGAAATTGATAATAGATGTTTCCATGTTGGAGACCTAAATAAGGAACAAAAGGAAAGTTTGAGGAATTCATGAAGAAATATAGAGATCTTTTTGTTTGGGATTCTAATGAATTTGGACGAACATCAGTGATTAAGCATTCAATCAATACGAGAACTGCTATGCCAATCAAGCAGAGATTCTACTGAATCTCTTTTCAAAACCAGAGATTTATTCAGGAGGAAATACAGCGATTACAGGAAAATGGTTTGATTAAACCTTCTAGTAGCCAGTAAACATCTTCCATTGTTGTTATAGAGAAGAAAAATGGAAAGAAGCGATTATGTGTCGATTATCGCAAATTAAACACAGTAATAAAAAAGGATTATTACCACTACCAAGGATAGATGACATGTTGGAAACATTATCTGGCTCAACTTGGTTTTCCTCTTTGGATCTTGCTAATGTTTCTAGTAAGTCGAGTTAAATAAAAAAGACTGAGAAAAGACTACCTTCATAATGAGATTCAGAACATACGAGTTTACTGTGATGCCATTTGGCTTATGCAATACTCCCACCACTTTTCAATAATTAATGAATACTGTCTTAAGAGATATTTTGTGGCAATATGTAATCGTGTATATAGATGACATCAACATTGGCTTTAAGACCTTTGACGAATACCTTTTATATCTCGAGCAATTCTTCTTGAGGTTAAGGAACACTGGTTTAAAATTAAGTCCTGAAAAGTGTTTCTTCTTTAAAGTAAAATTACTATTTCTCGGTCATGTGATAAGTGGACAAGGTATTCAAATGGATCCTGAAAAGCTAAGAGTAATAAGTAAATTCCTGATACTTAAAGATTTAATCCAACTTAGAGGATTCATAGCTTTGGCTTCATATTATTAGAAATTTGTTAAAGGATTTTCCGCTATTGTTAAACCATTGCACCGGCTATTGAAAAAAATGTACCCTATCAATGAACTAAGATTCAACATGATACTTTTGAAAAACTCAAGAAATATCTAACGACTACACCTATTTTGGCATATCCAGATTTCGATAAAGCTTTTATATTATATATGATGCTTCTACATTCGCCTTAGAAGCAATTCTAGTGCAAAAAGGGAAAAATTCAAAAGAGCATGTAATACTAGTCAGACTCTTAACAAACATGAAAGAAACTATACAATTACAGAATTTGAATGTATCGCTGTCATTTGGGCGATTTGATATTTTAATCATTATCTACATGAACAAAAATTTGTTGTTGTTACTGATCACTCCGCTTTGGTATATTTGAAAAATAATGCAAACCTATTGGCAAACTTGGACGATAGATTATGACTTTAAATTCCTTTAACTTTGATATTATAAATCGATCTGCAAACAACACTCAAACGTAAATACATTAAGTCAAATAGAACATTAGCATATAATAAATTTGAAATGATGTAATTGAATTTGATTTATTTTTGGATAACACTAACGGATAATTCTAAATTGATATAATGGATTCAGGAACCTACTTCTCACTCATACAATATTTAACGAATTTTGACATACCAACATATCTCACCAAAGAACAACAACAAATGATAAAACAAAAATCTCAATATTTTATTTTAATTAATGAATAATTATATAAGAAAAATAGAATCAACTCACATAGGCCATACAAAGTTATAAAAGAAAATGAAGTTGATACAGTGCTCTATAATCTATATTTTGATCCACTAGCAGGGTACTTTGTATTAGAAAAAATATTTAGGCAAGTAAAGATACGCTATTACTGGCCTCTAATGTATAATAATGTAAGACGATATATTCAAACGTGTGATAAATGTCAAAGAAGTAGAGTAAATATAAGGACGGAACTATTATATCCCATAAAAGTCAGTCAACCCTTTGATCAAGTAGGAATGGACATCGTTAGACCTTTGCCAAAGACTGAAAGAGGGAATGCATATATTGTAATTGCAACGGAATATTTGACAAAATGGCCTGAAGCTAGAGCCATTCTTGATGCAAAGGCATCATCTGTTGTGTCCTTTTTCTACGAAGACATCATATGCTGATATGGATGTCCTAAGGTACTTTTGACCGATAGAGGAACTCACTTTGTCAATGAAATATGCAACTCCTTGTGTACTAAATTAGGAGTCAAACATAAATTATCAACAACATATCACCTATAGACTAACAGATTAGTTGAACGATTCATCTAAATGTTATGTGAAATGTTAGCGATTTGCATCAAAAAATAAAGATGATTGGGATCTGTATGTACCATCAGCTCTTTTCGCCTATAGAATAAAGAGGCATAATACCACCTAATATGAACCTTTCTATCTATTATACAGATGAGAGATTACCTTGCCAATAGAATTCGAAATTCAAACCCAACAAGCATAACCAAGTACCATGAGTCACAATGAAAGTCATTTAGAAAGGATACATGATATCGTTGGAAGAATATATGATGGTAGGACTGAAGATCAGAATAATATAGAAAAGTCTCAACAGAAATAAAAACAGCGCTATAATAATAAATTAAAGGAAGCACAAGTATTCAAGATTGGAGATATGATTCTATTATACAAAAGTGGCATACATAAGCAAAAGAAACTAGAGGAATAATGGAGAGGACTATATTATATACATGATATTCTCTTTAGCGGAGCATATAAACTACTGACCCCTGATGATAAAATATTGAAAGCCCCTGTAAATGGTGATAAATTAAAGTTGTACTATTCTAGATCATCGTAAAATATCTTGTAAACCAAAAAAGAAAGATCCTGATAGTTACGAAATCTATTGTTTTGAAAATTATAAATATAATCACCCGAATCTAAAGATTAAAAAAATTCCTCTCTTCAAAATAATGGAACACTACTCCAAAGAATTAAGAGCAAATTTTTGTCAATTTTTGAAAACATGGTTGCAAGAAGCTGATAGTGACGAAAAACTTAAAATTTTCACTTTCACAGTAATTATCTTAAAGACTAATAGATAAAATTTAATGATGACCCAGTCATTATTAGGGGAATCGTCAAACGAATTGATTCTTGAGAAATGCAAAGAAGATCTTGATCAGGTTCCTCCAGAAATAATGGTTTTTTCTGATTATATATTACAACCAGAAGACATACAATTGCAAATACTGGTTAAACTAGTAAAAGAAAAATTTTTCAGATCCAATCTAATATATATCGACTTGAAACATTTTATTACTTGGGAGAACCATTAGCCTCATGAGGATGGATCTCTTAAGATAAGAATATTCTCCTCGAAAATTTTTCTATCTGAAGATATAAAAAGATTAAGAAGATCGTATGATGAGTCTATGACTTGTTTATAGCAAGAGGAGTTTTGAGTCTATATATTGTAAAATATATTCGTCCAACATATCTGACCAACATGAAAGAGAACAATTTCTATAAACGTCTAATATCAGAAGCTAGACGATAAAACAAAGAGAATTTGAACAATTGTTGATCTTGCATGAGCTCGACAATTAAAGAAGGCATATGTTACAAAGAAATATAATTGTTCTATCATGTTCTATTAGTTTCGGGGTATTGTGTCCCATTTCTGTTTAGTTTAAATTTAAGTTTTGTTAGTATTTAGTTAGACTTTTGTAAATCAATGATCCAATTGTCTTCTGTCCAAATTGTCTGCAGGCCAATTTGTCTTCTGGCTAATATACCATCTGGCCATTATGTTTCGAGAATAAAAAGGCCTCTGAACAATTAATTCTTGCTGGGTTTTAAGTATAAAAGAGGTGAGATTTCACTTGAGTAGAATATATCAAGTGTTTCATATATTCTCTAGATAAAAATGATAGACAATATTAGCATATATACCTTTCCTTTTATTTGTAATGATAATGAAAGTATATTAATAAATTATGTATCTGATCATATAGAATGCCAATAATTGAGATAATACTTTATTTACGTAGATTTATGTTAGATTTCTCTTGTTGTTAATAAATAAATTTAATTCATTTCAATAAAGAAACCTTCTGCTTACCTTTTCTATTGTTTATAACCAATAAACGTTTCGAACTGTGTGCAATAATACTAATATTTTCTTGATATTTAGAAAACCATTCTAAAGTTATTTCCATTACATAATTATAAGATCAAAAAGTCTAACCTCTAATCATAAAAAAATCTAACCTTTAAAATCTAACCTATCAGAAAACTATTTTGAAATCATTTGCTTTACGTAAATATAAGAACAAATAAGTCTACCCTTTAGATGTAAATAAATCTAACCTCTAAAGTCTAACCCGCCAGATATATATATATTAAGTCTAATCTTATAAACTAATCTCTTCACTATATTGATCGAATATCTGAGCCTTATTCCAAAGCCTATTCACTTGACGGATCTAATAATTGCTCTTATTACAATAGTTATATAGGCTATTATCAATCCCTGTAAGCTTAACTATCTTTGTAGATTTACTACAAGCAGAGTATGACTGACATTTCTTAGCTTTGAAATATCTTCAGGTTTAGTATAAGCTTTATCACAAATATTGCTAGAATTATGAAGATAATCACAAATAAA